AGGTAGTGCGTACAACATGCTTTTCAAAGGGTAGACCAAGGACCAGTGCTGATGCACACACCACCTGTTACCTGTTCACATGAGCTGAGTACAGAAATTGAGAGGACATTTTTAGAAACTGCTATAGCAAGTTAACACTGCCACCAGATCCACATGTGGTAAGTAGAGTTGCCTCACTGAGGAAGGTATAGACCAGAGTTTAAAAAACAAACCAGTTACCACCAAGTCGATTCCAACTCATGGTGACCCCATGCGTGTGGGTGTTGTCAAATTTTTGGGGGGGGCTGCATGTGGCAGGAACTATGTGAGGCACAGGCCACGTATGAGTTATGGGCCTATATCAGTTCACGGTGGGTTGGGAATTTTAAAAAAAAGAAGAACTGCTACTTCATCACAGATAGTTTGAGGAGCATTACAAGACTGGCTGATGGGTAGAAACTAATGTGAGAGAAAGCAAGGAATTGAGAATAGCTTGACTTGCAAAATTGGACAGATACTGGTGCCATTTACTAGGCTAAGAAATACTGTGAAACCAACAGATAGTTTTAGAGGGAGGGAGGTGGTAATTAAGAACTCTTTTTTGGCCATCTTGAGGATGAGTGAGATATCCATTAGACATCCAAGTGGAGACAGCAGATGGGCAGTTGGCTTACAAGTCTGGAGTTCTAAGCAAATGATGGAGTAGAGAGGCAGCCTATGGATGGTATTAAAGACCTGGGACTAGGTGGGATCATGTAGATAGAGGGTGAAGATAGAGGGAAAAGTGGGGGAGCCTGGGACTGAGCCCTGGATACTCCTAAATGTAGAGGCAAAGTGAGGAGGAGGAGGAGTCAGTAGAGGAGGCTATGAAGAGGCAGCCAGTGTGGGAGGAAAAAATTCCTGGAGAGGGTGGTATCACCAAACGCAACAGAAGAAAGAGTTTTAAGGAAGAAGCAGATAGAATGGTTATAAGATATGTATAAAACACCAACAGGTGAATGAGTAAACACATTGTGGTATATACATAGAATATAACAAATGCCACTGAATTGTTCACTTTAAAATGGATAATTTTATGTTATATGAATTTCACCTCAATAAAAAAAGAATAATAATTTTAAAAAGATATGTACAAAGAAGTGACCAGAGGAATTAGCCATATGAAGATCATCGCAGGAAGAAGCGAGGACAAAGGCCCAGGAGGAGTGGATTGAGAAAGTGTGCAGTGAGAAAGTAGAAACAACTAGTATATATTACTCTTTCAAGAAGTTTTGTTATGAATAGAGATCAAAGTGATGGATTAGGAACCAATCGACCTAAGAGGGAGGTGACCTAAGGGGAAGTCAGGGGAGGTTTCTTGTTTAAGATAGGATATGCTAGAGCATGTGTGTGGAGTCCCTCGGCAAAGAGTTCACACACTCAGCTGCTAACCAAAAGGTTGGAGGTTTGAGTCTACTCACAGGTACCTCAAAAGAAAAGCTTGGTGATCTACTTCTGAAAAATCAGCCATTGAAAACCCTATGCAGCATGCTTCTACTCTGACACACATGGGGTCGCCATGAGTAGGAACTGACTCAACAGCAACTGGTTTTGTTTTGTTTTAGGGTATGTGTGTCTTCTGATAAGAATGATCCAGTAGAGGTAAAAATTGATGATGAAAAAAAGAAAGAGGATAACTGCAGGAAGGAGGCATTAAGATGATGACAGAGGCCAGGATCTAGAGCACTCATGGAGAGTTTGGTCTTCTATAGGACCTGGGATGGTCTCTTCACTGGGATAGGAGGGAAGACCACGTGTGTAGCTGCTGATGCAGGTAGGTAGGTAGTTTGGGCACTGGGAAGACGAGGGAATTTTTACATGATTGTTTCTATGTTCTCACTGAAATATTAGGTAAAGTCATCAGCTGAGAATGAGAGCAGGGGTTTAGCAAGTTTGAGAATGAAGGTGTAAAATGGTCATTTTGAGCAATAGAAATAAGCATACCAGGGAAATATAGCAGGAGCAGTGGGCAATTTCAATGAGACCTGTTGAAGTAATTGGATGTTTTTCTCCAGAATGTTTTGTTGTTTGGGTACAGGCATGGAGTAGGTGGATGAGTGGGACATTGTCAGAGGAGTATGATGGAAGGAGGGGTGAGAGTGAAGGGTGTTTTCAAGGTAGTGGTTATAATGATGGACCATGAAATTTAATTGGGGGAAGGTGTGAAGTGAGGATATGAGGACACAAAGGGGGTGGTTATTATCATGGTGGTAGGGCCAAAGGGTTGGCCAAGAAGTAGAAGCATAGATGGAAGAAGTCTGGTGGGAAGACAGGAAGAGGTGGTTGGTTAGAGAGTAGAAGGCTTGGAATTAATTTCAGAAGTCTCAGAGTCATTAGTGATGATAAGATCAAGAATATGGTCATGGAGATGGGCTACTGAGGTAAGGCAGAGGAGATGATTATTGGATATGAGACAATCAAAAATCAGAGAGTCCAAGAATACTGAAGTCATAAAAATGGAGACAGGATTAGGTGGTAAAAGGAAGAGAGTGAACCAGTTGATAAAGTCATCAGTAAAGGAAGGGAGTGACCAGGGTTTGGTAAATGTTAGAAAAGGGGAAAGCTTGGATTTCTGGGTGTGCCTGAGGTGACTAGGATGTGCAGTATGCTGGGATCAGTCCTAATAATCTCTTACCGGGAGGTAGGGGACCTATTCAAGCTGGTGGTGTGGGGACCCCGGGCTGCTGGTCTGTCCAGCACTTGGAGTTCCAAGACCTGAGTCTGAGCTCCAACTCCACCACCCACTAGCTGTGTGAGTTTGTGAAAGTCAACTGAAACCTATTTATTCTCATCTGTGAAATGGAGATAAAAATGCCATCAATTGCCTAGTTCACAAGTATCATTTGAGATAATGAATGCAAAAGCACTTTGCAAGCTCTAAAGTGCTATAAAAATGCTAGTTATAATTAAAAATGTATATACCATGATTTATAATCATTGACCTCTAAACCAGAGCAGCATCAATTACTTATTCTTCCTTTTGTCTGCCACAATAACTAACCCAGTTCCTTGTATACTAAAGATTACAATAGTATTCAGTCTAGAGATTGAATAACATTTCACAATAAAGACTTATAAAATGGAAGAGTCTCTGACTAACGCCTTCAAGGTTATTGTTAACATCGCTATCAATACCGTTTAGCCTTAACACTTTACAAATTCTAGAAAAAAACACCAAATTTCTTTTCACTAAATCCATTGAAGTGAATAATAAACAGCTTTTCAAGATGAAAGTCATAAAACAATTTATACATTTTGACCTAATAATCCAATTCCCACAAAATTTTTATCTTTTAATCAAGTACAACATATATGCAGAAAAGTACAGAAATCATAAGTGCATATATGAGTATTCACAGAGCGAACACACCCACGTAATCAGCTCTACTTCTAGAAATTTGATGCCAGAAAATATTCTCCTAAACAGAAAAGCTACATGCCTAAAGATGTTCACACGGAAGAGTGAAAAAAGCAAAATGTTTGGTGGAGGAATGATTAGGTAAGTTTTGGCACATAAAGTCAATGGAACATTATGGAGCCATTAAAATGGCAATTTTCAGGAACCGTAGAACAAAATCCACAAACCCAAATGCCGTAGAGCCAGGCAGGTAGAAGAAATGTAGGAAGTAGCCTCGTAGAAGATGATAAGGAGTGGGGGTTGGAGGGCAAAGGACAGTCAGAAAGGGATAAGTGGAGAGTGCAGGCCTTGCCTGAAGACATTCACACACAATTTTTAAAAATAATAATAAATAAAACATGGTGCTGACCATACAAAACATGTCATAGGCCTAGTTTGTGACCCTTGCTGGAAATAAAGGAAAATATTCAGAGGAGAAATAAGCATAATCCAGTACTGGGTGTGGCAATACAGTTATAACAATGCAAAGATATTATGTCTACATATAAACAAGGACTGGAGGTATGTACAGAAAAATAAAAGTTGGCCTTGGTGGGAACTTGGCCAAATTACATTACATCTTTAAACCTCAGTTTCAGATTTAAAGAAATGTTTCCCTTATAAAGCTGTTCTAAGGCTTAAGTGTGTAGTAAAGTGCCTGGCACATGGTTAATAAAACAATTCTTCTTTCCCTCTTTTCCTCCTCCTCCTCTACGTTATTTTATTATTAGCTCCTTCTCTGATTTTAGTTTCCCACCATCCTCTTTCCCTTTGTTCTCCCGGCTCCAGGCACACTAGCCTTCTTGACATTTCTCCAACATGTTTTAACCTTAGATCCTAAACTCCCTTCCTCTGGTGTTTGCATGGATTGATCTCTCACTTTGTGGGGTCTCTGCTCAAGTGATACCTCCTCAGAGGGGACTTCCTTGTCCCCCTCCCTTCTCTCTCTTCAACCTACTTTATTTTTTGTCATTGCACTTAGCACCTTCTGACATTTTGTTATCTGTCTGTCTATCTGGAGTCCTGGTAGCATGGTGGTTAAGAGCTCAGCTGCTAACCAAAATGTTGGCAGTATGAATCCACCAGTCACTCCTTAGAAACCCTACGGGGCAGTTCTACTCTGTCCTTTAGGGTCGCTATGAGTTGGAATCGACTGGATGGCAACAGGTTTGGTTTTGGGTTGATTTAGGCACAAAAGCAGAACAAGAAGCCCTGGGCACAGGGCCCTGTTACAGAACCCACATCCACTCAAAGGCAAGGGGTTTGGTTTGGTTATCTATCTATCTGTTTATTCTTTGTCTCTACCTTAGAAGGAAAGTTCCCTGAAGACGGGAATTTTCCTAACTTGTTTACTTCTGTATTCACAGTTCCTAGAAGGGTACCTGGCACATAATAGACATTTAAGAAGAATTTGTTGGATATTGTTGAATGTTTACGGTGGAGACATTGTGCCTTATTTTTCTTCTTTTTTCTAAATCCCATGGTGGCAATGTTATTTGTGTAATAAATGGTTAAAAAATACATTTTTTCTTACAGGTGGCCTCAATGTGCAATTCTTCATGATTTTTTCTAACTTGTTTGGCAGATCAGCTGTGCAGAAACTGGGAGCGGAAGTATTTGAAGAGGTCTATGATTACCTCAAGAGAGCAAGGCAGCAGCATGCCAGCGATGCAGAGATCTGGGAGTCTCTAGAAAAAGTGGTGCCTCAGGCCAGCGACTGTTTTGAGGTTGACCAGCTCCTCTACTTTGAGGAACAGTTGCTTATCACAACGGGAGATGGGCCCACACTCCAGAACCTTCATTAAGCAACTGTCAAAACAAGCAGACATTCAAGTGGACAAACTGAACTTACGGGCTGGACCCTGTTGTGGAAAATGGGTACATCACTGGAACTGCCACCTTTACTTTCAGTTCCTTGTCAGGAGAAGTAATGACTCCAGTTGCTGTTGAGCGGTTGCATGTGTTTCAGAGTAGAACTGTGCTCTATAGGGTTTTCAGTGGCTGATTTTTCAGAAGTAGATCACCAGGCCTTTCTTCCAAGGTACCTCTGGGTGGATTCAAACCTCCAACCTTTCAGTTAGCAGCTGAGTATGTTAACTATTAGGGCCACTAGGAACTCCATTTAGAGAGAAGGAAACATGCCTGCCTATACTTGGAGTGTTGTTTGGTCTACATCCTGAGAGGCTTATGGATGACTTTGGCTTTGTATAAAGCATTTCCCCCATGAATTCCTTCAGGGGTTTCAGCAGGCTTAGACCATAGCAGATGATGGCCTGGGAGAAGCCTTGTGCTGTTTCCAGGTGGAGGACAGAGCTCAGTGCCTGACCCCCTTGGGTCTCAATGGACTGTGGCCAGCCTACTTGCGAACTTCAAGCTACTGCTCAGGAGCCAAACATGTCTGTCTCAGGTGGCCTGCTTTTGGTCCACTTTTGTCTTCCCATGACTAATAAGCAAGAAGTACATATATAAAAGGACCTGGATTAAACCACAAAAATGTGATTCATGGCTGTGATTTATTCCCCAAACTCATTCCTGCAGCATCGAAGACATTTATTCCTAACAAATATACTTTCTGTGATTACAAAATAAATCACCTATTTTATCTTTTCCATATCCAAAAGTATCTTATTAAATGTCACACATCCATCTAATGATAATTATCACCCTAATAGCGGCTAACATTTGGGTTATTTTTGTGCCTATTATGTACCAGATACTGTGTTAAGTACTTTAAGGTTCTTCCTTCTCTGGATCTTTTCACCAACTCCATGGATAGCTACTACTACTATTTATAGCTGAGGTGTGAGAAACAGAGCTGGGATTCTACCCAGGTGTCTCTGACTCCAGCACACATGCTTTTAATCAGAGGATTTTTCATCCAATAGGCTACATCAGACTTGCTTGAGGAGCTTTTTAAACTTATACATGTTTAAACATACCCCACTCCACCTCACTCCTTTCTCGGGGGGGATATAAGGCCAAAGCATGTCTTTTGCTACAGAGTTACCCTGGTGAATATGATTCATAGAAGCATGGTTATTCACTATTCTACCTCCTGCTAATGACTGAGGAAACTGAGGCAGAGAGATATCCATTGTCTTACTGAACCGATTGATAGTGCCATGCTCCTGCATGATGCTCTGCCTTCTAGGCCAGTGGTTCTCAGACTTCAGCTGCATCAGAATCATCTGGTGGTTGTTGTTAGGAGCCATCAAGTTGATTTCAACTCATAGAGACTCTGTGTATAACAGAACGAAACAGTTCCCAGTGCTGCATCATCCTCACAATTATTGGTATGCTTGAGCCCCTTGTTGCAGCCATTGTGTCAGTCCATCTTGTTGAAGGTCTTCCTCTCTTTCACTGACCCTCTACCAAGCATGATTCCTTCTCCAGGGACTGGTCCCTCCTGCCAACATGTTCAAAGTATATGAGATGAAGTCTCACCATCCTTCTAAGGAGCATTCTGGCTATACGTCTTCTAAGAGCGTTGTTTGTTCTTCTGGTAGTCCATGGTATATTCAGTGTTCTTCACCAATACCATAATTCAGAGGCATCAGTTCTTCTTAGGTCTTTCTTCAAAAAACCAAACCCAATGCCGTTGAGTCAGTTCCAACTCATAGCAAACCTATAGTTCTACCTATAGAATAGAACTGCCCCATGGGGTTTCCAAGGAGCAGCTGGTGGATTCAGACTGCCAGCCTCTTGGTTAGCAGCTGGGCTTTCAACCACTGCACCACCAGGGCTCCCTTAAAAAAACCAAAACAAACCCGTTGGCTCGATCCAGACTCATAGCAACCCTATAGGACAGAGTAGAACTGCCCCATAGGGTTTCCAAGGAGCAACTGGTAGATTCAAACTGCCAACCTTTTGGTTAGCAGTCAAGCTCTTAACCACTAAGCCATCAGAGCTCCTAGGTCTCCCTTAGGGATTGTTAAAACACAGATTGCTGGCACCATCCTCAGAGTTTCTGATTCAGGAAGTCTGGGGTAGGGCCTGAGGAGGGCCTGAGGATTTGCATGTCTAACAAGTTTCCAGATGGTTCTGCTACTGCTTGCTGGTGTGAGGACCACGCTCAGAACCATTGCTCAAGTCCTTCTTTCTATTGTCTCTCTTCTCCACCCATCATTTTGAGCAGTTGTTTTGATGGCTGTAAATTGGGGCTTACAATTCAACTCACCTATATCTCTGAATGTGGTATGAGGACTGGGAAGAAGGGCCCAAGAACTTCAGCTGCCTCACACCGAGTACTTAAAAAAGTAGTGAGGAGAAGTCAAAGTGGGACTTAGAGACCTTGATGGGCTCATTTTAAGGACAGGGAGTATGGCCACCATGGCTCCAAGTCTCTGCCTACCCCATGGCCGCACTCCCACTTCTCCCCAGCAACCAGAGGAACCATGGGGTGCCCAAGTGAACCCACAACTTCTATGGTGTTCAAGGACTTGTGAACATCACTGTTGCATTTTCCCTCAATTCTTGGTTTCTCCTTTACACTATGGAGAGGTGTTGGGGACAGCACAAGTCTTCACCCTGCCTTTCCAAGCCTATGATACCCACTCTCCCCATCCATCCCTGTATGCTGGAGAATCGGTCCTGCTGGGAAACGGGAGTCATGTTGGTGCTCTCACAAACCCCTCTAAGTGTCTGGTGCAAGAAGGGCAGGCCTCAAATATTGGTTTCTGGAGGTGGGATCTGAGATTTTTCAGAATTCTGAACTTGAACATGTTACACATGTCAAATCCAGGACCCATGACTGTTCCCGTGGTAGAACATTGAAAATCAGGTTTGTCTGGGAAACCCAGGATGGTGGGGCCTGTGACCACTCCACTACTGGGAGCAGGCATGGAAATTCTATCATGTTAATAAGGAAGAGACCTAACCACCAGGAAGAGCTCCCTTTGACCTTACTGGCCGTTTTGGCCATTCGTATTTCAAATGGTTATGGAAGAGGGGTGTGATCATAGCACACAAGTTAAGGAAAGTTTCTGAATCTCCTTGCTAATGGTTTTTATAACCTTAGGGCAGAAGAATACTTCTGTGATTTGCTAGGTCAAAAGTGGAGAAATAGCTAGATATTGTCATAGTCCCTGCCATCTTTCACAAACAGATGAACATGTCTAGGGAACAGTATCCCTGGTTTAGATGTTTCCAGGAAGTCAGGTCCAGATTGAGAACATCTTACCCTCCTGGGTCTTGTGCTATATATCACATCAGGCTTAAGAAGAAAGGGAAGCTGGGAAGACATACCATTTTGGATCACAGCCCCACGCCTTCTTGAGGAAGCTCATTCACATTTACCTTTCACTTGGCTCACTGTGGGGAAGCAAGGTATAAGATGATGTCTTAGTTATCTAGTGCTGCTGTACCAGAAATACCACAAGTGGCTGGTTTAACAAACAGATACTTATTTTCTCACAGTTCAGGAGCCTAATAGTCTAAATTCAGAATGCTGGCTAGAGGGGAAGGCTTTCTCTGTCAGCTCTGGAGGAAGGTCCTTGTCTCTTCAGCTTCTGCACCTGGTTCCTTTGGAGATCTCCATGTGTCTTAGCATTTATCTTACCCCATCTCTTCTCTGCTCACTTGTTTAATCTCTTTTTATAGCTCAAAAGAGATTGACTCAAAATATACCCTACACTAATCCTGCCTCATTAACATAACAAAGACAACCCATTCCCAAATGGGATTATAACCACTGGCATAGAGGTTAGGATTTACAACACATATTTTGGGGGGACATAATTCAATCCGTAATAGATGGCTAGAAGAAAATACCTTTTTATTATTACCATTGGGAAAATGCTTTCTCCCTCAGCCATTCTCAGTCTTAATTCGGCGACTCTGGTGTGGCTATTAATGACTAGCCAAACTGCAAGATGGTAGGGGGAAATCAGCTGAGAAGTAAAAGAACTAGGAAGTTGCTTATTATGAAACAGTCATAGATATGAGAGAATAAAGGGACCCTGCTATCCTGCTGCTTTGTAAAAAATATCTATATTTCACAAATGCCGATTGACCTTTCTGCTTCCTATTTATGCTGAGGAAATGCCACCGGCTATTTTGGGTGATGCGAAGATAAGGAACACAAAAGAGAGGATGGAAGTTAATTATTTAATGTCTTTGGGGCTGAGACTGGAGCAAAAGCTCAAGGTGTATTATAAAGATCCAGCTATCACAGTGGGCTTGGAAGGATAAAGGAGGCAGGCAAATTAAGTAGTATCTCAAGGGGGAAAAAGACACTACATTCCTCTTTCAAAACGATAGGATCACTAACTAATGTGTCAGAAGGGAATGGGGCCAGCCACCAAGATAAGAAAGGAACAGAGATGAAGCAAAGAGAGAAGGGAGGGGTGTGTGTGCACGTGTGACAGAGACAGAGAGACAGAAAGAGACATAGAGGCCAGCAGGGATGGACATGTAGTAAAGAATGTTTAAAAATACTTTGCTACAATCTTTGTAAGGAAAAAAAGAAATTGAACTTAACATCAGATGACTTGGAATCTAGACCTATTCTTGCAATTTACTGTGTAATCTAGGGCAAGTTATTTTCTCTGAATTTCCTTTCTATGTCAGAAGATTGCTGTAAAGAACAAATAAGATAATGCAATAGGTTAAATCACATGAAATTGTCAATGTGTGGAAGTGCTTACCTGCTGTAAAGTGCTATAAACTTTGTGAGGAGGAATCATTAACTTTAT